TGAAAATATGAAAAGCTTCACTAAATTATTGTCCTTATAATAATAACAGAGATTTAATGTCACACCCGATTTTAAGGATAAAATGGGATGCATAATCTTATGTGCGCCCAGAGATCAGTCGCACACATAAGCCGATAAATTATAAATAGTATCATCACAAGTGTTTATTACATCATGAATAATAAGACAGAGTCTTCACATAATTGTAGCGGAAGTATAAAGAAAAAAAATCTCTCGTGGAAGCTCCATATCACAGGGACGTCAACTGGTTGACCACAAGTCTAGAAGCTCAGAAAAGTCGTCATTACCATAGCCATCTGTTACCCATCCGGGATTTTTATCCAAATAATGAAATAAACAAGCGTAAATACATATCGTACTCAACAAGTGTAACAAGGGGTTCATGAGACTCAAAAGGCTTGACACAGGTTTAACAGCATTCAGCTTTTAGTTGTCACAATTTTAGCATAAGAGTAGCAACAAGTTGTTTCAATCCTAAAGTAAAACACATGATCAATGTAAACATGAATAATAAATAGCATAAACGGATAATTCTTAGTGATCATCTATTCCGTAAATGTTCTAAGACCGCTCGTGATCGTGAGCACGGCTGATATACCAGTTTTATATTTTGCAGAAGTTGTACACTTTCACTGTGAGTCATGATACCCATATGCCCGGGTTAATTACTCCCAAAACACTTTCAATGTGAGCAGGCAGGGTTCACTATGAAGCCTTTCAAATATTCTTCTAACAAGTTAGGGCCATTAGATTCACTCGGCAAACTGATATAGGAACTCCTGCCGAATGGCACAATTCCATCATGGCTATACACATAAGAGTAGAGGTTGTCCTATACCTGATTCGTCAAGCCATTCTTACGCCAATAAAGGTAACCACTAACAAGCTAGAAAAGGTCCTCATACTGAGCTAAAGCCAGAGCCATGTAGCCCTCACAGCTGTACTGTAAGTCCCGGATGATCACTTACAGTTAAGTCCTTAGGGAGAGGAATCTGAAGCATTTATAAAGTAGCTAAACACTCCAGCCCACTGTTTCCAAGTTGCTAAAAAGTCATATTTTAATATTTATTGCATATACCATTAGTCAAGTTACAAGATCATGGTTTAGTTGAGCACTAGCAAAGCTGCCTAATGCATATCCCATAGGAGACAAGGTATAAGTTCAATTCTAGGGAATCCCTATCAAGGTGACACATGCAACATCAATTAAATGTATTAAAGTTGATAGAAAACAAGGATAATCCCATGCTATACTTGCCTTGAACAAAATGCTCCTGTTGATCCTATTCGTCAAAGTAGTACTCTTGATCACCCACGAATTGTTCACCGTCTATACTCGATAACCACAGCAACATACATGCAACCAGAAGCAATCATGCATAGCAAACAAAAGCTATAGATTAGAACAGTACACCAATCAGCATAAAGTCAAGATGAAAACTTTGTAAAACGAATCTACATCTCGCTATAAACACACAGACGCGAAGATCACAAAAATCGGAGCTAAAACGAAGAAGTTATGTATTAAACAAGATTTCCTTTATTAAAATAATAGATTAACTCTAACCTCGAATTTTAAAAGTTGAAAACATATTTAATAGTATTATGAACATGTAGATTAAGCAATTACGAACCTAACACAACTTGAACGGACCAAATCGGAGTTAAAACAAAGATTTTATGGCTAAAACAAAATTAGTGGCAAAACTGTAAATAGATGAAAACGTATTTTGAATCTAATCCGAAAGGAACTACGCTTTTAAAAGAAGAAGGCGTATTCTGGATTTAAACATTGGACTGTGGGTTGAGATCCAAATAATTATAAGGGTCTTTTTGCAAAACGACAGGCGAAGGGGTACGGATGAATCTGGACCGTTGGATTGAATCTGGACGGCTTAGATTAGACGGGATGGAGAGAGAGAGCGCGGTCGCCGGAGAAAGGCCGACGCGGCGGCTGCCATGAACGGCAGCGAAGAGCTCGCCGGCGTTTGTCGATTGCGACATTCCGAGCATCATCGAACACGGGAAAAGAGAGGAGATGACGGCGAACTCACCACGGCGAACTACGGCGGTGAAGAGCGGATGGAGGCGGCTGGCGGCGAGCAACAGCGACGGCGAAGCTTCTGTGAACGACAGCGACGTGGTGTAGGCAAACCAGAGCGAGAAAAAGAGTAAGAAGGGGCTCAACGGGTTCGCGAACTCAGTGCGAAGTTCAGAGTGGTGCTTACGGTGACAGCAGAGCGGTTAGGCAACACGGCGGCGTCGAACTCCTTCTCGGCGAGATCCGGATGGCGGCGCTAGGGCACAGGGCGACGCTGCGGCTGGATTAGGGCTAGGTGAGGGCGGCACGGGCGCAGGGCTGCTGTTTAAGAGGGCATGGAACTTGCGGGTCACGCCACAACGACGGAGCACGGCGCGGCAGCGGACTCCTCCGATGGAGTCCGGAGCGGACACGGGAGGAAGAAAACCCTGACAGGGCGGTCCCGGTCGTCAGCGAGAGAGAAGGGAAAGGAGGGGCACGGCGCGGCTTGCGCTGGGCTGGGCCGCGGGGTGTGAAAACGGAAGCCGGGCCTGCGGGGAAACCAGGCTGAGCTGGGCCGAAAACCAGGGAGAGGGTAAGTTTTCCTTTTCTTTTTCTAAACTAATTTTTCAAACCAATTTTGAAATACAAATTCAAATCTAATTTGAATCCTTTGGAAGTTTTGCTCAAATACAGTCATCACAAAAACAAATATGCAGCAGCATGAATGCACCATCATGTATTTATACCTTATAGTTGATTTTATTTTCACAAAAATTATTATTTTCTACCTTTGCATGCACACACATATGCATAATCAAATCATTTTCTCCTATTTTAAAAACATCCAAATTTTAGGGTGTTACATTTAAAGATATTGCTACTAATTTGCCATCTAAAAATGAGTTATGGAAGTCCACTGAAAACTTAAATTTGGTATATACTTCTTTTGCACATAGCATTTGTACTACTACATATACGGAGTTGTGAAGTTATTGGGGGAGAAAAGTTGTTCACATTAACAGCCAGAAAAGTTGTGGCGGATATGCTAGCAGTAATCATAAAGAGGGCGAATGATTATGAACAGATCAGTGGAATGGCATAGCAGACAGCAGGAAGCATTACAAATGAATCAGAGCTTCTAGAACTAAATGTGATACCTGAATACTGAGCAGAGGACAACTGTATGGGACTGATCAGTATTCTACACTGAGATCAATATGTGTCAAAGATTTTATTGTTTTCCTTTTTTGCTCCCAATAGGACGTCACCAATCATAAGATTTTATTCTACACTGAGATCAATATTGCTCTCAAGCATTAAACTTCCGCTATCTCTGCAAGATCAGCGCATTCAAATTCAGGCATGCATTTCGAGAAGGAAAAGATGAAAACGAGAACTCTTTCTTAGATCAAGTACTGGAGGCCAAGAAAAAAAAACTGATGTACCAGAGCTGAGAAGAGCAGAGTTGAAGGATGCAAGCAACCGATGGTTGATACAGATGGGTGTCTGTATGTATGATGGCGTATTGGTTTAACTCAAACAGGATCTCGTCACTTGGCTGTCCAACAGAAATGTGAAGGAACAGGTGCACTGTCAAGCCACGTAAATCAAGCACAACTCTTTAACAGAAGATAGAGGGCTTTTTTACATAATGATGCTTTTTACATACCATAACAAACAGAGAGGGCGTAGAAACAGAAGATCCAGCTACAGAACATCTAGTAAAGAATCATCTATGTTCCTCCTTTTCGAAGAATTGCTTCAGCAGGAAGAGAACGGAATCTTACAGAAAATATGTATATAGCTAGTAGACCAGTCTACAGATTCACTAATTTTTTCCCCGTGCACTCATCTCGAATAAGTTGTTACTAGAATAAACTTCTTCGAAACATATGCAAGTGGTGTCTAGTTTTGTTCACCTCGTCGCGTAGAACATAATGGTGCAGACGGAATTGAAAACGGATGCACCGTTAGGAAGTTCTAGCATTTTGAAATAAATATTTTGTATTTTCCTAGGATGACGTCAGATGCAGGGAAAGGGATGAGGGAGCGGGATGTTGCGCCTGCTCTCTGCGGTGCGCACTGTACTTTACCAAAAAGGGAAATTTTGTTGTGTCGGAATATTGATCGCTACTTTTGAATGGACTGATCGTTCACGGACCAGTGGTGTCGCATCACATATGGTTGGTCAGGTTGTGCGAGACGAATGGATAAGCAGGCGGGCCAGGAATGATCACACACACAAACACACGCACACGCACACGCCGACGCCCACGCGCGCACGCACACACACGTGAAGACGTTCGAGCTGATGACGCGTAGCAGCACCTAGCTAGCGTGGACCGCGGCACTGCTCTTGCGAGCCCAATCACCAAGCAGAGATTCGTCTCTTGCGGTCCATGACTCCATATTGACAGGCGCTCCATGATGAGCGAGGGTCAGGTCAGGGCATCCCAAGACAAACCCAAGAGAATCAATAGAGATTAACCCTGATATAATGAGGCCCAGCAAATAACAACATAAAGAATAAGCTGTTCACGTTACATATTGACAAATGTCAAGCACGGCAAGCAACCATGCATACATTAATTCTCAACAGAGTCGACGGACTCAATTAGCTAGCATACCGCTGCTTTTATTTAATATAGTGCATAGACATTAGTTCAGGCATAGATATGAACGTATATATATAGGCATAAATAGAACAAAGCATTCTGGTAGGCAGACGCTCTTCTCCTTGGCGTTCCCACATCGATGAGCTCTCGTCTTGGGGCTTACATCATGAGCAGTCCCCCATCGTTCCTTCAGAAGACAAATATACAGAAGAAAAACAAAAGAACATTAAAGGGACAACACAAGAAAGGAGCAGGGACGCACAGCCAAATTAATGCCAAACCAGTTAGTATGTTCATACCTTGAGGCTGTGCTGCACACCTGACTGGGTGTATGATGTATCTCACTCCCTAGGCCATGTGAACACTTCGAGGTCTTCGCCAGGGCATTTTTGGCGTCCGTGTTTGAGCCCTGGCACCCACAGTGAGGACAGGTCCTGCATATCCATGTCCAGCCACAGCTGCTCAAGACTACCCAACTCCTCGACCCGCCTTAAATTTGGACAGCGAGTTACCCGCAGCTCTCTCACGCGCGGAAGACTTGAGACCCTCTCTAGGACTTCGCAATCTGATATTAAAAGGACCTCTGAGAGGAAACAGATGTCCTCCACCACCTTAAGGCTGTGCACTTTTCTTAAATAGAGCTCCTTCAAGCTGGTGGCCTCCTGTCCAAACTGCTCTGGGAGAGCCCTCAGCTTGGGGCAGCGGACCAGGTCCAACCGCTTCAATCGTGGCAGCAGCTGTATCCTTGGAGGTGGGGCATCCCACTTTTGATTTGCAGCAGCCTTATCCTCTGCTCCTTCCGTGAATGCTGTTGTTGCTTCTTGTTTTTCTTCAGCAACAAAGGACCACTCCTCCCAGTTGGGCATATCCATGATGACCAATGTTTCAAGCTTGGGAAAAGCTACTGCCTCTGTAGATCTGAGATTACCCATCCCAGAGCCAACAAATTCGGGTCCAATCATGGTGACTGCAGTGGTTCCTTTGATTTTCAGATATTTCAAGTTGGGGAGCTGACCGATTGGTGGAAGATGAACACATGATTTGCAATCTATGAGCTTCAAGTATGTCAGTGAAGGCAAATGGGCAGCACTACCTAGCCAGACGGGAAACCTCCGACCAAAGAAATTCACAAGACAGAGATCCTCCAGGTTGTGTGCAGGGATTAGCAAATCAAAGGTTTCCTCAATATTGATTACAGCTTTTTCAGAATATGGCTCACCTATGTGTTCAGTGCAACGTAGCACTAATTTTCTGAGATGTTTTTTGTTTGCTAGCAGTGAATCTTTACTAGGAGGAACTGCTCTTTCCAGTTTGATCATATCAAGCCTCCTCAACTGCCAAAGGGATCCAATTCTTCTATATTCCATCCATCTTGCATTACAGAATTGTTATAAGAGCCGTCACCAACAGGAAAGCCTTGTAAATCGTTGAGAGAAATTAATCTGCCAATACCTTCTGGAACCTCATTTATTGGTGTATCGTCTAGGCCAAATCGCCTTAAGTTGCATAGCTGAGTTATTCCTGAGGGAAGACTATGCAAAGAATCACACCCCTGCAAATTCAATATCTGAAGGTTTATGAGACAACAGATGGACTCTGGAAGAGAAGATATGTCAGTCCCATCAAGGTCTAGTAACCGTAGGTGGATCAAACGTCCAATGCAAGGTGGAACAACTTGTATCTGTGAACCTGTCAAATCCAAAACTCGAATGCATGGTAATCTTTCAAATATTGTATCATCCACTCTCAAAGACTTTGTATCAGATGTTCTCCAAGTTCTCACTTTACATTTCCCCTTATCTGTTCTAGGTAACACAACCATATCATTCATAGTGACTGCTGAAATACGGCGGAATTTACTCATAACAGTAACCCCTGCTGAATCTGGATCACCAACAAAAAGTTCTTCTCTGGATAAATGACAAGCAAGCTGCCTTAGTAGATCATGCATTCTACATTGAGTAAGGTCAACAGAATAGTAATAATCTGGTTGGAGGAGATTTCGATAGATCAGCTCATAGTAGTATTCTTCTGCTATATCTTCAAGGACTCGGTCATCTTGCTCATCTATAAAGCCTTCAGCGACCCACATCCTTACAATATCATCACGGTAGATTACCGAATCTTCAGGGAAAATAGCACAATAGATAAAACATTGCTTCAAATGGTGTGGCAGCTCTTCGTAACTTAGATATATAGGACTTGTTATTTCACTAGGAAGACTACTCATGGACCAAGCATCTTTTACCAAAATCTTCTTCCACTCATTCTCAGTTTGATCTTTGGTTGCCAAAACTCTAGCAATGACTTTAATTGCAAGGGGAAGACCACCACATCTACGAACAATATCGATCCCTAAGTCATGTAGATTTTGTACTTCTTTTTCTTCTTTGCTGCCCATGCTCTTCCATAGTAACTCCCATCCTATATCCAGTGACATTAAATCAACTCGATGCGTATAGTCCATTCCTGTTTCTACAGCAACAGTGTCAAATCGAGTTGTCAATAAAACTACTACTGAGGATGCAGCATGTAGTGGGATTCTCAGTAGATTTGTCCATATGTCTGACTGCCACACGTCATCCAGCACAAGAAAAAAACTCTTATCCTTAATGGACAGTTCTAGCTTGCTTTGGAGCTCATCGGTTAATTCATCTGGCATGTACTGTACTTCAATTTTTCGTAGAATCTCCTTTAAAATAGCTATTTCAGAGAAATCTTGGGAAACACAAACCCATGCTTGTTTGTTGAAGCTCCCTTTTAGTTTTTGGTCATTGTATATTTTTTGTGCTAGTGTTGTCTTACCAACTCCTCCTGTTCCAACGATAGCAAGCTTATAAGACCTTTTTTCCTTATGTGCAAGCACCAAATCTACTACTTTTCTGCAAGCACGTAAGATCTCCTTACCAACAAGGTTTGGCTCAACAAGGCTGGAACTTCTTCTCTGTTTTGGTACAGAAACTGTTACAGTTGATTGTGTACTCTTGAGTGAAGTAAATACTTGATCCTTTGAAATATTATCAATTCTTTTGTTTAAGTTTTTAATCTTAACTGCAATCTCATGACGTGTCTGGATATTAAAAAAGCAAGAGGAAAGAGAAAGGCCACTACATGTATTTGAACTGCTTGATACTAATGAAGAATGGCCTGGCAATAGCTTGCTTCCTTTGGATTTGGCCAAGTCAATGATATCATCAGCATCATACATAGCATCTCTTAGCTGACCAAGCCAATTGTTAACAGCAGATTCTTTTATGCTCCTTTTCTCTGCATCATTAAGAAAGTACCATATTTGCTCCATTCTTCTCTTCAGCTCTATGAGCTCTTCTTTAACACCTAAAATTAGTATGGCCTCCTCTGTAACAATATCTTGCAACTTCTTCGCGCATGATCCGACAAAAGATTCAAGTATGGTTGCCATCAGACCAAGATGGTTTGGGAGATCCACATAAAGAGTTGGAGGCTGGGCAATGAATGAGAAGACATGTTAACTTGGTCTCCAAATGTGATAACATTCATTAAATTTAACATATACCACTACTGATTTGTAGGGCAATGCTACGGTAATCGCATTACCTAATAGGAGGTAATAGCTCAAATCAGTCTGAACCGTTGATTTTTTATTATTTAATAAATAAATATAACAAAAAATATTTTTCAAATCCTGTAATCACGGGAGTACAAGAAGCAAGCGGTCATTCATTTCTTAGTTCGTGTGCACGTTACATGTTATTATATGCGTATACATGTTATACATGCATCATACACCTAATCTTAACATGCATATACATCTTACATACATTTAAATACGCAAGTTAACACAGGAGGGACATGTTGCATCAAAAAATCATGAGCTAACATGACGACGGTACCTAACACGGAGTGTTACATGCATCATCAAAAGACTAACATGCTAATTAAAATAGATCAATCCAAAGTTCCAAAATAAAAAGATTTACCATATCTAATAGATTACACATGCATCAATTAGATGTAGAAAAAAGATTTTTATATATCTAAAAATTACCTTATTTATCCTATTTTACAAAATAAAAAATTAAAATAAATATATATTTTACATATTACTTCCTATTAGTCATTTGGGAGTGTCAGAGCAAAGCCCTTGTACAATAGGTTTCATATGAGTATAGTGAACTCACATCCAGAATTTTCGTGCACCTTGTTATTAAGTTATATAGGAATAAACATCATTTCTCTACCGTCAAAAAATCATGCATAATGCCATTCCATATGGATTAGAAACTAATAATACACTAGGTACATGACGGTTGTGGTTGACATGATATATACAGGAATAAACATCTTTTGTCTACTGTCACTAAATCATGCATAATGGCATGCCATATGGATTAGAAACTAATAATACACTAAGGAGATTTACTATGGTGCCTCCAAATGACTGTAAGCCCTTCATTAGATCAGACGGCTAGAATCATCTATTAGTTTCTAGGAGGTAATAGGTCAAATAGATATTTACTTAATTTTTAATTTTGGAAAATAGGATAAAATAAGGAAAGTTCTAGATGTAAAGATCATTTTTAGATCTTTGATGCATACAAGATCTATTGAGTGTGATAAATCTTTTTTATTTTTGTAACTTTGGATATGACATAATTTAGGTAGCATATATAAACTACCTATTTGTTTATGCCAGTAACCCTGTCGTACGTACATGTCCACAAGACATACTACAACATGTACGTGTACATGCCAAAAGACGTGTCCAACATACATGAAATTTACGTGTATACGTAAAACTTCACGTTACATGCTCAACATATAATGTGACAGCTATTAACGTTGGACACAAAACTTCACGTTGTTGATATTATTCAAGTATGCAACATATTTTTTTAACTGAGTATATAATATGAATGGTGTACAACTTTAACGTAACTGTTGAAAAGCCATGCTAAAAAGTATTGTTCGCTGATTTGTTGTGATAGAAAAATATTATACCATAACTGATAAGCCAGGCTAATAAGTTCAAGCAAACAGGGAGGCCCCGTTTGGATCCTTGAATTGAATTCATTTTAAGAATCATAGTTTAGACACATATTAATTAAGTTAATATGGTTGTATATGAATTATATTTGTATATTATTGTTCACTATATAAGAGATACTTATGTGTTGCATTTCTACCGTAGGAGAGCGAGTTGAAGAGTGTATTATAAGTTGTAAAGTATAAATATAACATGGCGATCTGTAGAACCAATTTTCATCTCACATCTTATAAACTTGAGATAGGCTTATATATGAACTTTGGAAAGTGGTGGAATGTCAAATTCTAAGCTAAATAGCCTAGTTTATTAAGTAATTTCAATTCCTCCAAATGAAAGGATCAAAACATCAGTCCAATTTTTTTTGTACGTGTAGTGTATACATGTATATATTAGCAAAAAGTAAAAATAGAACTAAAATAGCAACTTATTCACGTTGAACCCAAAAGGAAGGGTCTGTCTGCACGGAAAAAGAAGGCGCCATGCGCTTGATTCTCTCTTCCGTGACTTGAGGATTTAATGATGTTTATTTTCTTTTCTTATATTAATTAATTAGATAATTAACTCAAAAATCCTTAAAAATCAATGGCTCGGATCTATTTAAGATATTACCTCTTAATAAGTAAAGAGGGCACCATAGCATTGCCTATACTAGGTACATGACGGTGGTGGTTGACAAAATGAGTAGTAAGGTAAAATATTGAGGTATAAACCCCTGTCTTAGCTTCCTTCTTGTCCCTTTTCTATTTCAAGTGTTGTAAGTTAAGGTACTCTAGATTTGATGTTATCAATTTCAAAAAGTACTTGGCATGTTGCACTTGCACGTAAAACCTCTACTAATACTTCCATTAGCTACACATTTCGATCTGGTAAAACATGATAATGGTCAGATTGCAGGTATATGTTGGATGTCTTACCTTAGAAATCTATCTTCCAACTAGAGTCAATAGTAATCCTCTTGTTGGCATATACAGTTCGTTTGGATTGTCAACCCATCCAGCGTACTGCACCGATGCTATGCGTGCAGATCAAAAGTAAATCCTTTGAAAAAAAAACAATTTATTAAGTGGATAGAAGAAATTATCCGCCAATCACCAACAGAGAACCACAGATATCACAGCTAATTAAACCTGCAAAAACGAGAAAGAATTAAATGGCAAACCTCTTGCTTGTCAAAACAAAGGTTGTTCAATGACTGGCAATTACTAGATGGTACCCATAACTAGAATAGTTCAGCAGAAAGTTAAAGCAAGAAGAGTATCACTGTATTTAAGCTATGATGGTGGAGCAGTAAGTACCTGATTACAGGTCAACTGATAAGCCACTAATCAGATGGTACACATCAAATAGATCAGTATGTGTCGATGCTATTTTTCCTTTTTTGCTCCCAACAGGATCACTTTGGTTAGAGATGAACTCGCTCAACAGAAATGGGCACACAGAGCATTAAACCTGTGCCAGCTCTGCTTGATCAGCACATGCAAGTCTAGAAATCATCTTCAATGAAGGAAATGAGTGTGACAATATATAAGAACTAGTAGTAACCATCTTGCAGAAGCAGTTCCTCTAGATCATTACAGGTGAGTACGTTTAAGATCTTCAATACTGAGGGAAGGTCTTTAGACACCAATGTATAGAATAAATAATGGAGGACAATCACTGGATGCCACGGCAAGTCCTGCAAAATGTGGTGACAACTAGAACAGTTTAGCAGGATCAGTGACAGCCTCGTTGATCAATACCTACAACTAGGACAGCCAACTAGAAGAATTATTACCACTGAATCAGAATTTTCAGCACAATTAGAACTAGAAAACGTAGGTCAACACAGGACAACTGGAAAGGCACTTATCAGACTGCTTCTTATGGAGATCAATTTGTCCCGATGTAAATTGTTGTGGTCCCGATAGTAGGATCTCTTCAATCTGTAGTCCTACAGAAACGGATGTAGCCTCAAGCTTCTGCTGTCTCTGCATCACCAGGCAATACTATGAGAACAGAAACCAACTAAATCAGACTACCTTCTTAACTAAGTAGAGGCCATGAAGGTTTTTCAAGAAATGACAACATACCTTAGGAAGAGCATCGTGCACGACGAAAGGTTGCAGCAATGGAGGAGCAAATGGAAACTAGAGAGACCTTGTGGCAAAATGCCTCTTACGAGTGGGAAATAAGATGTGTGGAAAAGCGTAGACTAAAAGGCAGTGTGTGCAAAGACCGCTGAACCTATGGTATTTGATTATTGAGAATACTAAGCAGCCTATTGGCTGTTTAATGGCATCGATAAGCCTATGGTTAGTTGCCCATGTGATTTGTTTACCTCGAGATTCGACAAGCACATGTGAAACTGGCAGTCACCGTAACCTATTCAGGTTTCTTTAATAGAGTGTTTGGTTTGAAAAATAAACTAGTCGGTCGTCTTCTCACTTCTCACTTCATCAGTCCATTGCTTACAAACTAATAATTAGTACTCGTATGAGAAATGAAGTTATTTGAGTATTTGATCAAATTTGAGAAATAAACTCATGACACGCCACCTAATCTAGAATGAAGTTACTCCTCGAACCTAACACACTACAAGTGTTAACCAAATGAAGACAGCTTCTCTGTTTGATTTTTGTTTGTACGAACTCGAACTGAACATGAAAATAAAACATGCTGCCAATGGCAGGTAGCTTAGCCATGTGCAGCGATTTAATTAACATAAAAAGTCGAGAAAGTCCATGTGCTAGAGTCAAGAGAAAGAAGCAAACACAGCTGGACATCGACGACCCCCCAGACCCTGTCCTTTGTGTGTGCTTCTTTCAAATTTTGAAAGCAGTCAAAATATAGGAAAGAGAGTAATTAAATTGGACCGTGCACGGCAACCACAGCCAGATGCTCCCACTCTCACGAAAATTTAATAGTGGAGAACATTAGACTAGATAAACTTGAACCAATTTGATGTGAGCCATCAGCAAGAAACAAGCATGGAGCCTCCTAGAGGCAACGGCATACTATTTTGAAACAATGGCAACGGCATACTATGAGCTGAGCAGTGGGGAGTAACCAGTGGGGTCCATTGAAAGTAGTGAGCACTTGCTGCCTAAAAAGCAGTAAACTAAGACGCCAGCCTAGCTTTTGCCTGCTTATGGGCATCGACTTTAGTTAATTATATACAGCTAGTAAAGTTTAGGACGTCAAATCGGGTGTTACATGTGGGTATTGTATGAGGTGTTCGGATACTAATAAAAAAACAAATTACATAACCCGTTAGTAATCCGTGAGACGAATTTATTAAACCTAATTAATCCATCAATAGCACATGTTTACTGTAGCACACCATTGTCAAATTACGGACTAATCAGGCTTAAAAATGCGTCTCGCAAATTAGTAGCAATTTGTACAATTAGTTATTT